TTTTTTTTTTTTTGGTGTTTGACTTGCTTCCAACAGGAAGGCAAGTTTTCCTGCTTCCATGAGTTTGAACTCACTTCTAAGAGGGAAGATGAGATTTTTTTTTTTTTTTCCTGCTTCCAGGCTGGGAGAGAGCAGTCTACAGCCTGAGACCCATCACTAGGCAAGAAACTGGTTTGGGATTCTGTCTTGCAAATTCCTTTTAAACTACTAAAGTTAGCATTTAACAGCCAACTGGTGTTAACTTCTGCTTACACTTAGAGTGTTCTGAAGTCCTATAATTTGTATGATTATTGTTCGTTTAATAGCATTTTGTCATAGCTGAAATATGGTAATGAGATTTAAAAAATTTTTTTATTTTTTAAGACGGAGTCTTGCTCTGCCACCCAGGCTGGAGTTCTGTGGCGCAATCTTGGCTCACTGCAACCTCTGCCTCCTGGGTTCAGGTGATTCTCCTGCCTCAGCCTCCCAAGTAGCTGAGACTACAGGTGTGCGCCACCATGCCTGGCTAATTTTTATATTTTTAGTAGAGATGGGGTTTCACCGTGTTGGTCAGGCTGGTCTCGAACTCCTGATTTTGTGATCCGCCTGCCTTGGCCTCTCAAAGTACTGGGATTACAGGTGTGAGCCACTGAGCTCGGCCTGAAATAATTTTTTTTTAAATTAAAGTTATTACATCTATATATTTTCCTGTATGTGCTTTTAAAGTCCTTGTGACATTGAGTTTAGGGCTCTGACTCCTGGGTCTAAAAAGGACACCAAATCCTGCTAAATCTTAAACACGGACAGCAATTAAAGTCTCATCTTCAGACCCTGTAGAAGATGCAAATCAAAATAAACTGCCTTCCTGAGACCTGAGACACAGGTCCTGAAATTAAAGCTATTCAATTCCTCAAGTGGAAGTGGTGGGCACATAAGGCTGTAAGGGCTGTTTTGTTTTGTTTTGTTTTGAGACGGAGACTTGCTCTGTCCCCCAGGCTGGAGTGCAGTGGCATGATCTCAGCTCACTGCAACTTCCACCTCCTGGGTTCAAGAAATTCTTCTGCCTCAGCCTCCCGAGTAGCTGGGATTACAGGTGCATACTACCATGCCTGTCTAACTTTGTATTTCTTTAGTAGAGACGGGATTTACCATGTTGGTCAGGCTGGTCTCAAACTCCTGACCTCATGATCCACCCACCTCAGCCTCCCAAAGTGCTGGGATTACAGGCATGAGCCACTATGCCCAGCCTAATCAACTCTTTAATAAAGGTTATAAAAGGCTTATGGAAGTTATATTTTATAGATTGTTTACAAAATTTTGAAAAACAAATATTATTAGCTTCATGCTGTTTTTATTAGGCCTTCTTGTTTAGAAAATTAAGTCTCAAAGAATGAAGGTTGTGCTTTTTTTGAAATCCTTGAATTATCACTTTGGTTAAATAAATGACTTTACAATGACCTATAATCATATTTTATAATACCAAGTGTTTTAAACCTTTTGTATTTGACAAACTTTCCAAAATCAAATGATTAATTTTATCTTTATCTAACCTAATACTTCAAGAAATTAGATTTCCTAAAGTTCAAAAAGTGACATAATTTGGCTTGATTGGTATAAAAATTGTACAGGAAACATTATCACATATAAAATGGTGTTTGGTTTTCTTTGGGCTGTATTTGTATAAATATGTTATTGGTATGTGTTCCAAAATTATGGGAAACTCCTGTAACTTTGATATAACTTAGTGTACATTCTTGGTAATAATCTTAATTGTTATGTTACAATTATTGTGTGTCACAGAGGTAAAAAATTTCCTTGTCAATTGTGTCTTTTTTTTTTTTTTTTTGAGACAGAGTCTTGCTCTGTTGCCAAGTGCCAGGCTGGAGTACAGTGGCACAATCTCAGCTCACTGCAATCTCCACCTCCTGGGTTCAAGCAATTCTCCTGCGTCAGCCTCCCTAGTAGCTGGGACTACAGGTGGACGCCACCACGCCCAGCTAATTTTTGTATTTTTTAGTAGAGATGGGGTTTCACCATGTTGCCCAGGATGGTCTCGATCTCTTGACCTCGTGCTCCACCCGCCTTGGCCTCCCAAAATGCTGGGATTACTATTGGAGCCACCGTGCCCTGCCAATTTTGTCTTTTAACTATAGCTGCCTTAAAACTTTTTTCATCCATGGACAATTGTCTTGTTTGTGGTCCTCTTTAGAAGGTGGTTTTATAATCAGCTATAAAACTACAACAGGTGCTCTTGAATGCAAGTTTCTGAAAACTTTGGAGATTGTGACATCAGAATAGATGAAAAACTTTCAGGACTCATGGAGAGCTAAAACGTTCATGAGTACTAAACAGAACAGGAATAAACTGCATGGATTCAACCAATCTTTTTGACTTTTTGCTTAAAGTGTTTGCTGATCATTTGTTTCATTTTTCAGTGTCTTAAAACTTCTTTTGACAGCTTTTAACAATTTAGTATAGTCCTATGAACAAATTTGGAGCATATTTGTTTCTCTCTACCTGATTTCTTTAGAATTTGGAAACATTTGTGAATATTCTTTTATTTATTTATTATTATTTTTAATATTTTTTTTTCATAGAGACAGTGTTTCATGTTGGCCAGGATGGTCTCGATCTCTTGACCTTGTGATTTGCCCGCCTCAGCCTCCCAAAGTGCTGGGATTACAGGCTTGAGCCACCTCGCCCAGCCCAATTGTGAATATTCTTAACTTATGGCAATGCAGTTATTTGTGTAAGTGCAATAAGAATATATTTTTCAGGGCTGGGTACAGTGGCTCACGCCTGTAATCCCAGAATTTTAGGAGACCAAGGTGAGCAGATCACAAGATCAGTAGTTTGAGACCAGCCTGGCCAACATAGTGAAACCCCATCTCTATTAAAAATACAAAAAAATAGGGGTGGGGTACGAAAATATAAAAAAATATTAGCTGGGTGTGATGGCACACAATTGTAATCCCGGCTACTGGGGAGGCTGAGAAAGGAAAACCACTTGAACCTGGGAGGTGGAGGTTGCAGTGAGCCAAGATTGTGCCACTGCACTCCAGCCTGGGGGACAGAGTAAGACTCCATCTAAAAATATACATACATACATAAACACACACATACATATATATGTATTTCATTTGTAACAGGACACAATTGGAGAAATTGGTGATTTTACCAAGGCTTTGACTAGAATGGTGTGCTTTCCTGTAAAGAATTGAACTTGACTTATGGAGCCAATAAAGCCCTTTGGAAAAAGTGGCCTCATAGTTTGTGTACAGTCCCTGTACAAGGTTTCTGACCAGTGGGTAAGTGAAGAATGTCACTTTCTGACAGGCACAGAAGCCCCAGGTTTATCTTGGACCCTCAAGTGGAGAGGAAATCCACCCAACTCATAGATATTTGATGGCACAAATTGGCTGGGCTCAGCTTTTAAAAAGTCTTATCTGAACCGGGCTCGGTGGCTCACACCTGTAATCCCAACACTTTGGGAAGCTGAGGCAGGCAGATCACCTGAGGTTGGGAGTTTGAGACCAGCCTGATCAACATGGAGAAATTCCATCTCTACTAAAAATACAAAATTAGCCAGGCACAGTGGCACATGCCTGTAATCCCAGCTATTCCGGAGGCTAAGGCAGAAGAATCTCTTGAACTTGGGAGGCGGAGGTTGCGGTGAGCTGAGATTGTGCCATTGCACTCCAGCCTGGGCAACCAGAACCAAACTCCAGCTCTAAATAAATAAATAAAAAGTCTTATCTGGCCAGGCACAGTGGCTCAGAACTGTAATCCCAGCACTTTGGGAAGCCGAGGTGGGCGGATCATGAGGTCAGGGGATCGAGACCAACCTGGCTAACATGACAAACCTCTGTCTCTACTAAAAATACAAAAAAGTACCTGGGTGTGGTGGCATGTGCTTATGGTCCCAGCTACTAGGGAGGCTGAGGCAGAAGAATCACTTGAAACTGGGAGGCAGAGGTTGCAGTGAGTGGAAATCTCACCACTGCACTCCAGCCTGGCTGACAGAGTGAGATTTTGTCCAAAAAAAAAAAAAAAAATCTTATCTAAGAATCCTCCTATGGAACAAAGTTCCATCAAAGCCAATTTAAAAACCTATGTAAAAAATAATTATTCTTGGCCAGGCTAGGTGGCTCATGCCAGTAATTCCAGGACTTTGGGAGGCTAAGGTGGCAGGGCATCACAAAGTCAGGAGATCGAGACCATCCTCGCTAACACAGTGAAACTCTGTCTCTACTAAAAATACAAAAAAAAATTCAGGCCAGGTGCGGTGGCTCACGCCTGTAATCCCAGCACTTTGGGAGGCCAAGGCGGGTGGATCACGAGGTCAAGGGATCGAGACCATCCTGGTCAACTTGGTGAAACCCCATCTCTATTAAAAATACAAAAAATTAGCTGGGCATGGTGGCACGTGCCTGTAATCCCAGCTACTCAGGAGGCTGAGGCAGGAGAATTACCTGAACCCAGGAGGCGGAGGTTGCGGTGAGCCGAGATCGCGCCATTGCATTCCAGCCTGGGTAACATGAGCGAAACTCTGTCTCAAAAAAAAAAAAAAAAAAATTAGCCAGGTGTGGAGGCACATGCCTGTAATCCCAGCTACTTGGAAGGCTGAGGCAGGAGAATCACTTGAACCCGGAAGGCAGAGGTTTTGGTGAGCTGAGATCGTGTCACTGCACTTCAGCCTGGGTGACAGAGCAAGACTCTGTCTCAAAAAAAAAAAATTATTCTTGCTGTACTATATACTTATAATTAGGCCAAGTATAATAAGCAAACCAGTCATACCATGATTCATTTTTAGTAAAATGGGAAAATGAGAGAGAGAAAAAATTATATTTTAAAACGATTGCATACCTGTTGTTAAATTCTAGTGTTTCCTAGAATCTAGTTCATATATTGCCTAGAATGTATGGACTGCAGAGTAATGTGGCCTCTATGGATTTTTCCAGGATTCTTCTTTTTGTTTGCTATTTTTTTCTTTCTTTCTCCCTTCTATTGTCTCTTTACAGAACATGAGACTTTACAACCTGCTAAAAATGAGCTTTCGGGACCTGCTCATCTAGAAATCAACTGTCCTAGCCACGAGAGATCAGATAAAACCTGAGACCAGATACTCATTTTCCTTTCTCCGAAAGATTTTAAAAAAGAAAAGGGGGAAAATGTGAAAGGAAAGTATCTGGGGCCTCTTCAAGCTGGGAACTGCTCAGGGCAAATCTGCCTCCAATTCTATTCAAGTCATCTCTCTGCTCACAGAGATAGATGCATATTCTGATTGCCTCTTCTGGAAAGACATGTCAGAAACTGAAAAGAATGCAATCTATGTTTCACCTACATGTAACCTGGAAGTAAGTTGTCTCCACCTTTCTGGATGAAACTAATGTACTTCATACATATTGACTGATGTCTCCTGTCTCCCTAAAATATATAAACTCAAGCTGTGCCCCGACCACATTGGGCACATGTCATCAGAACTTCCTGAGACTGTGTCACAGGTGCATCCTCAACCTTGGCAAAATAAACTTTTAAAATTAACTGAGACCTGTCTCAGATTTTTGAGGTTCACATAGGCAAGACACAAATATATGCTGACTGGAGGAACCTGTGGGAGTGGTATAATGATCTATCTGGAAGTTTATCATTTCCTTCTGCAAGACTGGGAGGTTTTTCCATAGAAGTTGGCTATGAATTGTGCTTTGAAAGAAGGGAAGGGTGGATCCTGCCTGGTTGAAGAAGTAAAAGCAGTTAATTTTAGTAACAATAAGAATGATACAGGCTAGGGCTGAATAAGAAGGGATGGGAACAAAAGAAACTTGGCTAGAAGCCAACAGATGGACTTAAATAAGCAAGGAAATAAGACATACAGTATCGCTATCATCTTGCATTAATACTCTTCATTTTTACTTATCAAAACACTTCCACATAAATGATTTCCTTTGATTTTCACAATAAACCTGTAAAGTAGACAGACAGTCCAAGAAGCAATCATTGTACAGGTTGCTTTGTCATTTTTTTAGGAATCAAGGGATTGAACCAAACACTTTTCCCAAGCTTGGTTCCTTGAGCCTTTGGCTGGCCCTGAGATAGACAGCTGAGGTGGATTGTGATGGAGTCTCATAGTTTACATTTGGGGAATGAAGTAGTAGAAGCCAAAGGCTCAAAGAATTACCCAAGTGTCAACATACAGGATTGACAGAAAAGATGACAAGCTGGCCAGGTACCATGCCTCATGGCCTGTAATCCCAGCACTTTGGGAGGCTGAGGCCGGAGGATCACCTGAGCCCAGGTGTTAGAGACTAGCCTGGGCAACATAGCGAGACCTTGTCTCTACTAAAAAGTAATTTGTGTGTGTGCGTGTGTGTGTGTGTGTGTGTGTGTGTGTGTGTGTTTTCCCAGGCATAGTGGCTTGTGCCTGTGGTCCCAGCTACTTGGGATGTTGAGGTGAGTGAGGTGAGAGGACTGCTTGAATCCAGGAGTTCAAGGCCAAACTGGACAGCATGGTGAGATCCTGTGTCTATAAAAAATAAAAAAAATAGCCAGGTTTGGTGGCACATGCCTGTAGTCACAGCTATGTGGGAGGCTGAGGTGGGAGGATCACAGCCAGGCCTGGGAAGGTCAAGACTGCAGTGAGCTGTAATCACACCACTACCCTCCAGCCTAGGTGACAGAACAAGATCTTCTCTCAACAACAACAACAAAAAGTGTAGGGGGGTGGGGCACATGCATTTAGGTGAACAAATAATGTGTATAATATGAACATAGCATGCAAAAGTGGACAAATGCAATTATTTAACAGATATAGAAGTCAAGGAGCCAGAGCTAGAGGACTTTGGGGGCAGGATGGGAAGTTTCACTGGAACTGGGAAATTTGGGAACAGAAGGGTCCTTAGAAGTGCAGTGGCTCTGGCCCGGCGTGGTGGCTCATGCCTATAATCCCAGCACTTTGGGAGGCCGAGGCGGGTGGATCATGAGGTCAAGAGATTGAGACCATCCTAGTCAACAAGGTAAAACCCTGTCTCTACTAAAAATACAAAAAATTAGCTGGGCATGGTGGTGCATGCCTGTAGTCCCAGCTACTTGGGAGGCTGAGGCAGGAGAATTGCTTGAACCCAGAAGGCGGAGGTTGTGGTGAGCCGAGATCGTGCCATTGCACTCCAGCCTGGGTAACAAGAGTGAAACTCTGTCTCAAAAAAGGAAGGAAGACAAGTTCAGCCTTTTAAATACACACACACATACACACACACACACACACACCACACATATATATATATATATTTTGTAGGGGTGGGGGTCTCGCCATGTTGCCTAAGCTGGTCTTGAATTCCTAGGCTCAAGCGATCTTCCTGCGTGGGCCTCCCTAAATTTATTCTTTGATATGGTTAGTGTGATAAGGCAGGGGGACAATCCGTGGGTAAATGGCAGAAATATTGACTATGATTTAATTTTTTTTTTTTTCAGGAGGAAAAGGAAGAAGGTAGTGTGGGTGACAGCTGTCTCTCATTTCAGCCTTCCTGAACAGTCAGACTAAGATTTTGAGAGAGAGAAAGAAACAACAAAAAACAAAAAAACAACCCAGAATGCTGAATGCTGACAACTAACATCATCAGCATTCTCAGGGACCTCATGGAACTCTGGTGGAGGGAGGGGTCTGGCACCTGGACAGCACTCCTCAATGACTTCATCAGCCTCAGAAGCCACAGGGAAGCAGCTTCGTCATCCAAAACTGAATGCCTTTTAACCTCTGGACTTCAACTGGCAGAGTGGAGTTAAGAATACTGTGAAGCATCAGGCATCTGTGCTTCATGTGTTCCTCTCTTAAACTCCTTTGCTTTCCAAGGGCATCATGCCCGGTATTTGGCTTTAACATTTTGATATCCCAGTCTGGGCAACACAGCAATACTCTCTCTTTCGCTTGCTCTCTCTCTCTCTCTCTCTTTTTTTTTTTTTTAAGAGGGAGTCTCTCTCTGTCGTCCAGGCTTGAGGGCAGTGGTGCGATCTTGGCTCACTGCAACCTTCGCCTTCCGGGTTCAAGTGATTCTCCTACCTTAGCCTCCTGAATAGCTGGGATTACAGATGTGCACCACCATGCCGGCTAATTTTTGTATTTTTAGTAGAGACAGGGTTTCACCATTTTGGCCAGGCAGGTCTCGAACTCCTGACCTCCTGATACACCCGCCTCGGCCTCCCAAAGTGCTGGGATTACAGGCGTGAGCCACTGCGCTCGGCATTTTTTTTTTTGAAACAGTCTCACTCCATCGCCCAGGCTGGAGTGCAGTGGCGTGATCGCGGCTCACTGCAACCTCAGCCTTCCGGGTTCGAGCAATTCTCATGCCTCAGCCTCCCGAGTAACTGGGATTACAGGTACATGCCACCATACTTAACTAATTTTTGTAATTTATTAGAGACGAGTAAGACTCTGTCCCCCCCCTTTTTTTTTTCTTAAGACTGTCTCTTAAAAAAAAAAAAAAAAAAAAAAAAAGCTGAGCAAGGTGGTGCTTGCCCGTAGTCCCAGTTACTTGGAAGGTAAATTACTATTTACATAATTTATTGTAACATATTCTGCTTCTTTCCCCAGAGCTGTGAAATCTCTGCTATATCAGTACTGGCTAAATTAGGTATTAAATGATTGAGCTTCAAATGGGCACATCAAGACTGCGGACTACATTCCTCCTTGCCTGGCGGCTGGGAAGTTCCTTAAGGCTTGTGTGTTTCTATCAGACTGGTTTTGAAGGCGGTGGCTCTCCGGATCTCCACAGAGCGCCAACGTCGGCTTAAAAAAAACACACCAAAGCTAGATTGTCCAAAAGGTATATAAAAGGTAGTTGTATTATTTACAAGCCATCTTTTAGCCTTAAAACTTGATGAAGCATTTCCAGTTGCCTTTTCTTGAAATATTCAGCAACTCCCTTTTTTGTTAGGTCCGCGCTGCTGCCAAGATTTCAGATTAAAGGTGCTCCGGGGACTCCGATCTCCTGGGCACCCTCGGCCGGGACAATTTTGATTAAGCGCTACCTCCTGGCGGCAGCTCTACTGCCCGACGCCTTTCCAGCCTAGTGGGGCCCATTTTCTTTGGTTTGGAATCTGGAAGCTGATGCAACAGCTCCCCCAAGGGGGCGGGGCGGGGAGTAGGGAACTCAGGGTGGAAGAGACGGCCTTCCGGGAGAGCCCTCCTCCCGTTCCAAGCAGGCACCTCCCCTCGCCCGATTCCCACCGCCGAAGGGGCTTCCCGGTCTGGGCACCCTACCCAGATTCAGCCAAGCATCTCGGGGCCGGAGGCAGCTGTGGCCAGGGGTTGGGGCTCTCGCCTAGACCCTTGTCGGGCGGCCAGCATAAGCCGGGATTGAGCGTTCTTGGGGTGGGGTGGAGGACCAGTCTCTAAAGGTATACGCGGTCATTTTCATATCCCCGCAGCAGTCCAGCCCTACGGGAGCGACCAGCGGTCAGGGGAGCGGGTTCAAGGCCTCGGCGCTTGGACCTTTGCTCCCTTCGCCTACACCCACCACAACCCCCTCTTCTAGCGCTTCCTAGAGTCGGGGGAAGGACGGGGCCTCTTTGGCCAGGTGGAGGAAGCGGAAGGGACCCCTGGTGGGGTGAGGTCCTGGTCCCCCAGGCAGAGTTCGGGTGGGCCCCCACAGGCAGACCTGGGCCTCGCAGCGACCCTGTTCTTCAGAGGGATATTGAAGGCGGACGGTAGCTGGGTCTGGGCTTGGGAGGGCGTTGGGGCCTGGCGAGGGCTTGGCAGACTGGGGGCCCAAGAGAAGGAGGGAAATAAAAGGGAAAAGGCAGGGGCCCCGAGAAAGCAAGGGCGAATTGGGGAGTGGGGATGGGAGAAAGGGGCAAAGGTGAGTGAGACCTGCAGGTTGGGCGGGGGCGGAGAGGGGGATGGGAACGGCTCTGGGAGCGGTCAGTGAGGATCCTGGGCTAGGGGAGAGCTTTTCGGGGGGGGGGGGGGGGAAGGGCCGCTGGCGTGCGTGTGGGTGTGGAGTTGAAGAGTTTATGCTTCGAAGTTCGGCTGTAGAGCCCACTTGGATATACCTGAATCTGAGTGTTCGCCTCCCTCTGCCTTTTCCTCCTCTGACTTTCACCCTTTCGCGGTCACAGCACTTCGCTCTCGCCATATCCACGCCTCACCCAGACCTATCACCTGAGCCTAGCTGTGAGGTAGAGCAGACAAGAATTTCCCGGATCCAGGGCAAGAGTGTTAGATTATAGGCTTTTTGTTTTACTTTGCTTTTCCCGTTCATGAAACAAAAGCCAGTTTCAAATCCTTCTAGGCCTCCCAGTAAAACTATGGAAACCATACTTTCCTCCTTCCCTTTAATGCATTACTATCAAAAAGAGTACCTTCCAGTACTCCTTGCTTAATTAAGAGCCAGAGCCGCAGCCACACAGGAAGGCCTGGAGAGCAAATTCAAGGACATGCCCAGGAGCCCAGCCAGCTGGGAAATCAAATAAATAACAGTTCATTCATCCATTTATTAACCCAGCAAACATTTATTAACTGTCTACCTGAGCCCTGCACTGTGGGGATACAGTGGTGAACAAAGCTCTTGTGATGCTTACATTTTAGTGGGGGTGGTGACGGCAAACAAATGACACCGGGAATGGACAACATCACTGGGAAGCATGTTCCAGGCAGGGAGAACAGGAATTGCAAAAGCTTTGAGGCGGGATGGTGCTTGCTGCGTGGCCACAGGAGGGAAGCCAGTGAAGCTGGGGTGGAGTGAGGAAGACAGCAGGGGGTCCCACGTGGATGAGGACAGCTTCTCTCTTCCTAGGACTTCCCTCACAACTGGGACCCGACCCCAGGGTGCAATTAGGGAGCAGGCAAGTTGGGTAGCAGGCTGAGAGTGTCTAAAGGACACTAAATTATCCTTGGAATAATTCAGGTATTTGGTGCCAGTGAACTCTGATTTCTGTGTCTTGGTGAAATATGTGTTGGCTTTCATCCAGTAACAGACTTATTGATAACTCCTTACCTGACTACTTGTGTCCGAAGTAATTTTGCAACAGACCAGTGTAAGTTGCAGGGTGTAGCCCAGAAGCCAGCCAGCTGACAGTTGCTTAAAGGCATTAGTCACAGTTGTAATTCCAAAAATGCATGATGCGCTGTGAAGTGCTGCTCCCTGAAGGCAAGAGATTTATACTATTATTTACATTTTAAGTGGTTTCATATGTTTACCATGTTTACCAAGAAGTTATTTGCTTCGGAAGATTGCATAGGATGAAAATTTGTAATAATTTCTAATTTTGAATATAAAAAGGCTTACACAGTTTTTATTCCAGGACAATTGGTATTTCCCCCACCTCTGCTAAGTAAACATTCGACAGATGTTTAAATAACACCAGTTTGAAGGGATGCCAACTCATTAGTCTGACCAGGGTGCCATGGCCCAGTTGGCTCTTACCTGGCGACACACATCAATATCACCTGAACCAACTGGAGAACTCAGCTGTGAGTGAGCTTGCTTGGTGTCTAAATGTGTGCTTGTCTATCCCCCTATAAGTGGTCTTCCTTGGCCTGCATTACCTCTCTTGGCTTGCTTTAGGGGCTGAAATGGCACTGACAAGCTTGAGACGGGATTGCAGAGTTTCCTTCCCCCTAACCGTGGGGTCGTATCCCCTCTGCAGGACTATGGATAGTACAGGAGTAGGAGATGAGTAGGAAATGGGATGAGGGGAGTGGCAAGAGGCATCATAAGTCACAGTCAATGGAGGGGAAAGCTTAAATGCTCAGTAAATGTAGGGCAACAAGGAAGAGGGGGGTGGTACTGAGGTAGGGAGGAGGAGGAGCTGAGACTCAGAGTAGAGAAGGTGCCTGGAGGCTGTCAGGCATTGAGGTCCTCTGGGTCTGATCAGGCAGTCCCAGCTCCAGCCCGTCCCTTGGCCCCTCCCCGCTGCTGGCCAGAGTCACACATGTGTTTTCCTGTTTTCCATTTCAGTCCCCGTCACCCTCTGCTTTTTCTGTTCCTCAGAGTCAACAGCTGCTGCAGCAAGAGCCATACTCTTGGTTCTCCTAACTAGTACCTTCCCCTCTCCTGAGCTGGTAGCCCCTCCTCCCTGCACCTGCCCAAAGATCACTGGACTGGTAAGAGTCGGGAGAGGAGGAACAATGGGCGAGACGGGAAGTGCAGGAGGAGGATGGAGCCAGTGCTAAAACTCGACTGAATGGTGACCTAAGAGCCTCCTGTTTCTTGGTCCCAACCCTGTCCCTTCCTGGGCTGAAACTTCTGCCCAGAGACTTCAGCTCTTTGTTAATGGAAACCCTGGCCACAGGAGTAAACAATTTCTTGTCCCCCCACCCCCACTTTTTTTTTTAAAGGGACTGTCTTAGCCATAGTGGAATATAGAAAGACAAACAAGAGAACTAGGGTGGGAGGAGCTGAGCTAGCTTGGAGTGATGGGGAAATCCAGTCATGTCAGAGTGTATCTGTTTTCTGCTTCTGTTGTTAGGGAGGCAACGCAGACTGGTTGGAGCCAGGAAGAGACATGGGGTCTCTGGAAGAGAAAGTGTGTTCTTACAGTAGTTCCCTGAGCATGGCTGAGGAGCCAAGACCCCAAATTATGTGCTAGCACCTGGAGGAAGTGTGTTTTGGTGTTGCCATTTGGGGTGAGGTTGGGGTGAGGGGTTCCATTGGCTGCTCTGCCTGGCACTGCAGGCACTGCAGATTGGGTACCCTGCTGCCTGTTTCTGAATCAAATTTCTTCCACAGCCTGTAGGATGAGTGTGTTGTTCTGTAATCTTTACTGGGTCCTCAGAGATGAATGCATCTCAGACAGGGAAAGACAACAAGGGCTGCTGTTATTTTACAGGGTTTCTCATGTAAAACTTGGGGTAGGCCAGGCATGGTGGCTCACACCTGTAATCCCAGCATTTTGGGAGGCTGAAGTGGGTAGATCATGAGGTCAGGAGTTCAAGACCAGCCTCACCAACATGGTGAAACCCCGGTCTCTACTAAAAATACAAAAATTAGCTGGCGCAGTGGTGGGCACCTGTAATTCCAGCTACTCAGGAGGCTGAGGCAGGAGAATCACTTGAACCCAGGAGGCAGAGGTTGCAGTGAGCAGAGACCGTGCCACTGTACTCCAGCCTGGGGAACAAAGCAAAACTCTGTCTTGGGGGAAAAAAGAAAAAACCAAAAAACAAAAACCTGAGGAAGAGCCCCTTTGGGAGAGCCTATCGGTGCTGCTGGTCCCAGGCGGCCTGAATGGTGGAAGCATTACCCCAAGACCCAGCGTCTTAGGGAGAAATGTGAGCTGCCAAAGATGGTGCCTTCTTGTGTAGGGTGCTAGGTAGTGGTTGAAAAAAGAAGGGGGCAGGGTTCAAAATCTCCATGAATGGCAGCCTCCCTTGCGTAGTTTGCATGGGCAGACTGAAGTAGCTTAGTCCGCACATAGTACTTCCTGGTGCTACCACTAGGGTGTGCTGTTTGCTGGAATGTGGGTTTTATCTCCACCAGATTTCTGTCTCAAGATTCCATGGAGAGGACTTTGCTTTTTAGATGCTACCAGTCAGAAACGAAACCTTGTACACTTCTCTCCCCAGTCCCCCTCACAGTTTTCCCTTCCTTTGTCACTCCTTCCTTCCTTTCTTTTATGTCATATTAAGACACACGCCCACCCCTTGGTGCCAGTGAATTTGGTCTTAAAAGGGCAAGCATGGTGATATGTTTGTGTGTGTTTTTGTTTGCTTTAGAAGTGGGCACCCTAGCAAAAGCAGCACTGCCAAGAGGACTTGTAATCGCCTCTTATCCCTGCAAAGAATGAGAAAGGGGAGTGGCAGCCAGGAAGGAGATGAACAAACTTTGCTGGAGCCTTTAGCCTAGGCTACAGGCTGAAGGATGACAGAGGCTTTCTTTTTAATCTAGTCTGATTACATCTTTCCCCAGGTAATTCTGTAATAATTCCCATCGGCTGGGCTTGGTGACTCATGCCTGTAATCCCATCGCTTTGGAGGCAGAAGCAGGTGGATCACTTGAGGTCAGGAGTTCAAGACTGGGCTGACCAACACGGAGAAATCCCATCTCTATTAAAAATGCAAAAATTGGCCGGGCATGGTTACTCACGCCTATAATCCCAGTACTTTGGGAGGCCGAAGCAGGTGGATCCTGAGGTCAAGAGATCGAGACCATCCTGGTCAACATGGTGAAACCCCGTCTCTACTAAAAATACAAAAATTAGCTGGGCATGGGGGCACGCACCTGTAGTCCCAGCTACTCGGGAGGCTGAGGCAGGAGAATTGCTTAAACCCAGGAGGTGGAGGTTGTGGTGAGCCGAGATTGCACCATTGCACTCCAGCGTGGGTAACAAGAGCGAAACTCCATCTCAAAAAAAAAAATAAATAAAAGCAAAAATTAGGCCAGGCATGGTAGCTTATGCTTGTAATGTCTGTAATTCTAACACTTGAGGAGGCCGAGGTGGGCGGATTGCCTGAGTTTAGGAGTTCAAGACCATCCCGGTCAACATGGTGAAACCCCCAACTCTACTAAAAATACAATAAATTAGTTGAGTGTAGTGGTGTGCAACTGTAATCCCAGCTACTCGGGAGGCTGAGGCAGGAGAATTGCTTGAACCTGGGAGGCAAAGGTTGCAGTGAGCAGATCATGCCACTGCACTCAGCCTGGGTGACAGGGTGAGATTCTGTTTCAAAATAAATAAAAAATAAAATAAAATAAAAATATTAAAATAAAAACACGAATATTAGCCACATGTAATCCTAGTTACTCAGGAGGCTGACGCATGAGAATCACTTGAACCAGGAGGTAGAGGTTACAGTGAGTTGAGATTGTGCCACTGCACTCCAGTCTGCGTGGCAGAGTAAGACCCTGTCTCAAAAAAATAATATAAAAGGAAGGCCTAGAGACTAGGGCAGGTCAGGGGATGGGGAGATGGAGAGATAGTATACCTGTGTGATTAAGAGTATATGAGCTCTGGTGGTTTCATGAGATAATGTGCTTAAGTGCTTTGCAGTATGTCTGGTCCAGGTAAGTGCTCAATAGCAATTATTACAGAAGCATTTTGGAGAAAAGGATAGTTTCCTCCAAAAGGATTTCAGATCATTGTGAGCTTGTCTTAGGAGAAGCATGATCTCTGGGAAGGCTAACACCAGAATACTCCTCCTAATTTAAAAGTTTAAAGAGCAAGAATGGAAGGATGTAGGGTAGAGATGTCTCTCAGAGATATTTAGATCTCTATTCTCTGGTTGTAGAATAACTAAAGAGAATTAGAACAGGTGTGAGAAGGGACAGACGGTTGGATTTCAGAATGGATAGGGTCTATTTCTGTTGGTAAAAGAGATGCAGTATACCAGATTTAAAGTAAACAATAAAGATAGTAAAGAATAAATACAGAATAAACTATGTGATTTCAAAAAAATGCTCAGCTTCTTCTGCCTGTTCTGGGCCTGTCTGTCCAACAGAATTCAGTGAAATCTGATTTCCTCATAGTTTTAGGAAAGCAGAGTAACCTGGTATTTGGGAAAGGTGTTTATAGGAATTTATGCTCATCCCAAAGATCTTGGTATGTTTTCTCAAGGATGAAAGGGTGCATGGGTCTGGTGGGGATGCAGTCGGAGATTTGATCTCTTGACTGTGTTTCTTTTTTTTTTTTTTTTTTGAGACGGAGTTTCGCCGTTGTTACCCAGACTGGAGTGCAGTGGCACGATCTCGGCTCACCGCAACTTCTGCCTTCTGGGTTCAAGCAATTCTTCTGCCTCAGCCTCCCGAGTAGCTGGGACTACAGGCGCGTGCCACCATGCCCAGCTAATTTTTGTGTTTTTATTATTTTCTTTCTTTTTTTTTTTTTTGAGACGGAGTTTCGCTCTTGTTACCCAGGCTGGAGTGCAATGGCGCGATCTCGGCTCACCGCAACCTCCGCCTCCTGGGTTCAGGCAATTCTCCTGCCTCAGCCTCCTGAGTAGCTGGGATTACAGGCACGTGTCACCATGCCCAGCTAATTTTTTTGTATTTTTAGTAGAGACGGGGTTTCACCATGTTGACCAGGATGGTCTCGATATCTTGACCTGGTGATCTACCCGCCTCGGCCTCCCAAAGTTCTGGGATTACAGGCTTGAGCCACCGCACCTGGCCATTTTTGTGTTTTTAGTAGAGACGGGTTTCACCTTGTTGACCAGGAGGGTCTCGATCTCTTGACCCCGTGATCCACCTGCCTCAGCCTCCCAAAGTGCTGGGATTATAGGTGTGAGCCACCGCGTCCGGCCAGATTGTGTTTCTTTTTAAGTAGTCTGAGGCTCAGACTTTGAGGTAGTGGCTCAGGTTTGGAGGCAAACCCCCAGTCTCTCTTTGCATGGGGAAGTGTGCAGAGTTCTCTTAGAATGCCCAGTCACACTTCCTATAATCTCAGCATGGGAACAAGCCTTTGTGTCACACTGTGCAACCTTCCTGCCTTTCTTAAATGTTTGGGGTGAGAGAGAAGAGAGGCTAGGGTGGGGCATGGAGAAGACAGAGAGAGAGAGAGTGCTGTGTATTCCTTCCCGGCTACTGCCCTGTCCTCGGCTAACTGGCCCTGGGCCATTTTCCTCAGGGCTATAGAAAATGCACCCAGCTGACTGTCCTTTCTTCTGGGCCCCCAGTCCCAGAGCATAGCTGACAAAGGAGATTCCTGAGAGAGCGCCTTCTTATCACAAAAAGTGCTGAGCCAAGAGCTCCTAGCTGCCCCTTTTGCAGATGTGAAGGGTCAGTGAACCTTGGACCCAGATGGTTGCTTAATACTCCTTTCCCCCTCCCTCATCTCTTCCTTTGTGGGCTGCCTCGCCTCCTCCACCCTTCTTGCTTAAATCCATAGGCATTTGTTTGACCTTCCCTTTTACTGCTGGCTGGAAAGGAGGAGTGTCTGACCACAGATCCTTGAAGGCACTTCTCTCCCTGACTGCTGCTGGCACTGCCGTGAGAACCTGCTTATATCCAGGACCAAGGAGTGAGTGTGCGTTCCACCCTCTCCTCTCATTCCTGCTCACCTTGCTTACCCTCCTCTTTGCTGCTGTGCAGTGTCTAATCACTTCCTCTCCTGAGTGCCTTGCCCTAATATCTCTCCATTGCTTGACTAGCCTCTCCTGTTTTCCTCTCAGCTGTCTCCTGCTCGGTGTTTTCCAGCATGTGCTGCCTGGCTACAGCTGTGTCTCTGCGTTGGCTTTGGGTGGTGTCTCTCCAGCAGCAGCTCTGGGGTAGGGAATGGCTATCAGCTGCCTCCAATCATCTCTAGGCTTCGCTGTACATTGGATCACCTTTCTCTCATTCATACTTTTTTTGGGTAATTTATGCTGATATGAGGGATCTGATAGCAGGAGGCTTGGAATACCAGAGACTGGGAAAGGTATCTGGGAAAGGAAAAGAGAATAACTGGTCTTCTTTCAGGGTGAGGTGGGTCTACTTGGGCTTTGTCAGGGCTGAACACTCCAGCTAAGGGTTAAGGGATGCTCCTTGGGTAGGAGGATGGTTGTGGGTTTCCAGCAGATTTCTAAAGGCGTTAGGTTTGTCACACGTAGAGTCCTTGGGATAAAGAATAGGTTGTGAGGCGCTCCCACAGATTAGTTGCTTGTAAGGTTGGTTCCTAATGTTGTATCTCAACACAGGTCATTGCTGAAGCTGAAATTGGAGCCTGAAAACTCAGGCTCGAGCCATTATGATTCTTTTCTGGGAGCTGCCACACTGCCCCCATCCCTGTCTTGTATCATAGCAGGCTCAAAGAGAGCTAAGATTTAGTTTTCTATTTGGTGAGTTGGGTGGGCAGCAATATCCTATGATGAGAGACAGATGCTTTCTCTCTGGGGAATGAGTGTCTTCTCTTGAAAATTCAAGTTGGTTGCTTTCACCTGAAGGGTCAAGAAAGAAAAAAAAAATTCAAGTTGAGGGGCCAGGCGAGGTGGCTCATGCCTGTAATCTCAGCACTTTGGGAGGCCCAGGTAGGTGAATCACCTGAGGTCAGGAATTCAAGACCAGCCTGGCTAACATGGTGAAACCCCGTTTCTACTAAAAATACAAAAGATTAGACAGGAGTGGTGGTTCGTGCCTGTAATCCCAGCTGCTCTGGAAGCTGAGGCAGGAGAATCGCTTGAACCCGGGAGGTGGAGGTTGCAGTGAGCTGAGATCCCTCCATTGCACTCCAGCCTGGGCAACAAGAGCGAAATTCTGTCTCAAAAAAAAAAAAAAAAAAAAAAAAAGTGGGACTTGGTAGCTTACACATGTAATCCCCAGGACTTTGGGCTTTGAGAGGCCAAGGTGGGTGGATCACGAGGTCAGGAGTTCAAGACCAGCCTGACCAAGATGGTGAAACCCTGTCTCTACTAACAATATAAAAATTAGCCAGGTGTGGTGGCAGTTGCCTGTAATCCCAGGTACTTGGAAGCTGAAGCAGAGAATTGCATGAACCTGGGAGGTAGAATTACAGTGAGCCCAGATCGTGCTACTGCACTCTGGCCTGGGCGACAGAGTTGAGACTTTGTCTCAAGAAAAAAAAAATTCAAGTTGATGAGTGTGTTGGAGAAAAGGTTATTTGGAGGGCTCGACAGTGGTGGGTGGGCTGCCCATATTAGCCTGTGTTGGAGGTGGGTAGAGGTTCTATGTAATTGCCAACCACCTAATATATAGCATCATCTTTTTCCTTAAAGGGCAATGCCAGGAAGCTGGTGAAGGCTTTCCTCTCCTCCACCATGGTTGACAGCACTGAGTATGAAGTGGGCTCCCAGCATGAGGTGGAAACCTCCCCTTTGGGTGATGGGGCCAGCCCAGGGCCCGAGCAGGTAAAGCTGAAGAAGGAGATCTCACTGCTTAACGGCGTGTGCCTGATTGTGGGGAACATGATCGGCTCGGGCATCTTTGTTTCCCCCAAGGGTGTCCTCCTGTACAGTGCCTCCTTTGGTCTCTCTCTGGTCATCTGGGCTGTTGGGGGCCTCTTCTCCGTCTTTGGGGCCCTTTGTTATGCAGAACTGGGCACCACCATTAAGAAATCTGGGGCCAGCTATGCCTACATCCTGGAGGCCTTTGGAGGATTCCTTGCCTTCATCAGACTCTGGACCTCCCTGCTCATCATTGAGCCCACCAGCCAGGCCATCATTGCCATCACCTTTGCCAACTACATGGTACAGCCTTTCTTCCCAAGCTGCTTCGCCCCCTATGCTGCCAGTCGCCTGCTGGCTGCTGCCTGCATCTGTAAGTGGGGCTGGGGCAGAAGGTGGTGGGTGGAGGGCTGGGCAGAGGCTGGGATGTGAGTGCAGTCTGGGAGTAAGAAGTAGATGGAAAGGAATGCCTCTGACAACACCTATATATATATAGTTAAAATTAATGTATGTTTTGTATGAAAATTCAAACAGTAACACTCACCCTTCCCCCAACTTCTCATGGTAAGCACTATTAGCAGTTTTCATATTTTTCTTGATTTTTTTTTTTTTTTTTAGACGGAGTTTCGCTCTTGTTACCCAGTCTGGAGTGCAATGGCGCGATCTCGGCTCACTGCAACCTCTGCCTCCTGGGTTCAGGCAATTCTCCTGCCTCAGCCTCCTGAGCAGCCGGGACTACAGGCACACGCCACCGTGCCCAGCTAATTTTTTGTATTTTTAGTAGAGATGGGGTTTCACCATGTTGTCCAGGATGGTCTCGATCTCTGACCTTGTGATCCACCTGCCTCGGCCTCCCAAAGTGCTGGGATTACAGGCGATTTTTTTTTTTTTTTAAGAGACAGGTGTTTTGCTCTGTCACCCAGACTGGAGTGCAGTGGTGTGAACATACCTTACTTCAGCCTCGAATTTCTAGGCTTAAGTTATCCTCCTGCCTCAGCCTCCTGAATAGCAGAGACTACAGGCACACTGATTTTTTTTTCTCTTGTTCTTTCAAGAGACGTAGTTTTTTCAGGGCATGGTGGCTCATGCCTGTAATCCCAGCAGTTAGGTAGGTTGAGGCAAGTGGATCACCTGAGGTCAGGCGCTTGAGACCAACCTGGCTAACATGGTGAAACCCCATCTCTACAAAAAAAAAAAAAAAAAAAAATAGCTGGGCATGGTGGTGCATGCCTGTAATTCCAGCTCCTTGGGTGGTTGAGGCAAGAGAATCACTTGAACCCAGGAGGTGGAGGTTGCAAAGAACCGAGACGGGGCCATTGTACTCCAGCCTGGGTGACAAGAGCAAGATTCAATCTCAAAAAAAAGGAGATGTAGTTTTGTTCTTTTAGAAAAATGAGATCATATTAGTCTACATATAGTTCTACAGTGTGCTTTTCCTCCTAGCATTACCAGTGACTTTCTATTTACAGATCTACTTTTAAAAAATGCTTCATGTTATTCCATGTTAATTTTAAGGATGTATAGTAGTTTATTGACCTAGCTAGTCCTCTGTTAATGGCCATGTATGTTGGTTCCAGTTTCTTGGTCTTACAGATAATGCTCCAGTGAATATCCTTTTGCACTTGCATGAGTATTTGTGTAGGCTAGATTTTTCTTCTGCTTTTTTTTTTTTTTTAGATGGAGTCACTCTGTTGCCCAGACTGGAGTAGCATGATCTTGGCTCACTGCAACCTCCATCTTCTAGGTTCAAGTGATTCTCCTGCCTCAGCTGCTCTAGTAGCTGGAATTACAGGCATATGCTACCATGCTCAGCTAATTTTTTGGTATTTTTAGTGGAGACAGTGTTTAACTGTGTTGGCCAGGCTGGTCTCGAACACCTGACCTTAAGTGATCTGCCTGCCTCAGCTTCCCAAAGTGTTGGGGTTACAGGTGTGAACCATTGCACCTGCTTCTGTGGGCTAGCTTCTTAATATTGTCATTTCAATCCACCTTGGCTTTTTCTCCATCTCATAAATAAAATATTATTTAAATCTGTACATCAGTAAAGCCATTGGAGGTGCTGAGATGATGATTCTTCACAGCCCCAACCCTCAGATGCCTCTATTCTTGAAAAATGCCCTTCCAACCTGGGAGATCCTAGGGCATTAGAGATGCCTTCCACCACACAACTATGAAGAAGCTCAGACATTCTGTCAGTTTGAGGGGCAGCTGCCCTAGCAGTTGGGGCACAGGAATTTTGCACCAGGTACAATTGCTCATTGGCTCACCCCTCTCCAATCAGCTCATGTCCTTTTCTCTTTCAGTTTCTGTATTGGCCCATTTACTCCTCAACTTCCTCTTCAGCTTCCCTGATTCTACGGTTGTGTAGAGAACTGGCTGTCTTCTGTGGGGTCCTCCTGGTGTTTTGTGTGTCCATATGTCTGGTTTGGACTCATCTCTGTGTATGGAATGTTTGTCATCATGGCCACAGTCAGGGAGAGGTGGAAGGCACTGCCTTGTGTTGCAAGAAGGGAGTTTTCCACTGAGGTCTGAAATGTGGTCTGTGATTTCTCTTGCATCGCTGGCAGATGATCTGGTAGGTTGCTAACTGGCAAAACTAATTTTAGGATCTATTGGTCTTGGAGCACCCTCAAATGTGGGTATATATTTCTATATCATGTGCAGAGAAGGATCATTCCATCGAAGTAATATTTATTATTTATTTATTTATTTATTTTGTTTTTGAGATGGTGTCTTGCTCTATTGCCCAGGCTGGAGTGTAATGATGCAATCTTGGCTCACTGCAACCTCTGCCTCCCAGGTTCAAGTGATTCTTCTGCCTCAGCCTCCCAAGTAGCTGGGATTACAGGTGTCCACCACGGCATCCAACTAATTTTTGTATTTTTAGTAGAGACGGGGGTTTCACTGTGTTAGCCAGGCTGGTCTCAAACTCCTGATATCAGGTGATCCACCCACCTCCGCATCCCAAAGTGTTGGGATTACAGGTGTGAGCTGCTGCACCCGGCCAATTTTCTGCTTCTAATTTGGTTATAGAGACATACATGCTGAAACCCTCATTCACCCATGTACACATTCATGTGCCTGTACATCCTTTTAAGAATACATTCAAAGTAGACACAGTTATGGTTAGTATGCAGAGCTCTTCAGTGAGTAAAAGGCATGGAGTTTTGTGCACAGGTGTGAGAGAACTCTGATAGAGTGAAAGGTGCACACCACTTGTGCACACATTTGTGTTGGAGGTTGGGCTCAGTAGCTGTGTGACCTGGAGTTAGGTGCAGTGACTGTTTAATTCCGGGCTATTGTGAGAATGAAATGAGATTCAGTGAAAACATAAATTATGACTCAAGTATAAGGTATTGATTATGTTTAGAATTACTATCTTCTTGGCCACTTATAGTTTCTCTTCCTGCTTCTTGGCTTCATCTGAAGTAGTTACATTTAGATAAATGAGATATTACTGCATAGGTAATACCTGGACTTTGTTCTATCTTTAATAACTTCAGAGGTACATGGAGATCTAAAGAAGGTTCAGAAGGGCAACCAAGACTAAGAATTAAGTGACATACGATCCATGGGTTTATTCCTTCAACCACTGTTTTGTTTTTGTTTTCTAAATTTTTTTTTTGTAGAGATGAGGTCTCACTATGTTGCCCAGGCTACTCTCAAACTCCTGAGCTCTAGCAATCTGCCTGCCTTGACCTCCCAAAGTGCTAGGATTATAGGCGTGAGCCACTGTGCATGGCCTTCAGGCACTGTTTAATAAGCACCTAACACAAGTCAGATGCTGGGACCTACGAGAACGTTCTGGTTAGCCTAAGTGAGAACTTAGGCAGAATCTTTAGATTTAGCAACAGAAGGGCTTTAATTTAGAGCTTTCATACGTTCCCTCCCTTGGGAAACCTTTAATTAGGGCATGTTATGTGCTAGATATTTTACTTAGTGCTGGGAAATGAGAATGATGTCTGGCCCTTGCCATTTAATAATTCATAGTCCAGGAAGTAGACAGACATGTTAACAAATAATTGTCATGCAGTATAATTAGTGCAGTGATAGAGGCAAATGGGCAACTTTTTTTTTTTGAGACAAAGATTCACTCTTGTCACCCAGGTTGGAGTGCAGTGGTGTGATCTTGCCTCACTACAACCTCTGTGTCCCTGGTTCAAGCAATTCTCCTGCCTCAGCCTCCCTGGGATTACAGGCATGTGCCACCATGCCTGGCTAATTTTTGTGTTCTTAGTAGTGACGGTGTTTCACTGAGTTGGCCAGGCTGGTCTTGAACCCCTGACCTCAGGTGAACCACCCACCTCAGCCTCTCAAAGTGCTGGGAGAACAGACATGAGCTACCATGCCTGACCTAAATGGGGCTACTTTATTTTTGTAGGGAGGAGAGCTTAGGAAAGTACCACAGAGAACATGGTGTCTGAGTTGAATTTTGAAAATATATATAGCTGTCTTCTGTGACCTTTCTCACAGGAGACTGCATGTGCAAAGGTATGGAGGTGCAAAAAGGCACAGAATGATCAGAGAATTCCAGATCATTGGTATAGTTGGAATGTGGGGTGGGAGAAGGGTGAGGAGACAGCCCTAGGTGAGGTAGGTTTTATAATCAGGTTGGACTTTATCTCAAAGATGGGGGAAGCTATTGTTTATTTTTATATTTTTAGAGATGGGTTCTTGCTCTGTTGTTCAGGCAGGAATGCGGTGGTGCAGTCATAGCTCACTTCGGCCTCTAACTCCCGGCCTCAAGTGATCCTCCTACCTCCTACCTCCCGAGTAGCTAGTAGCTAGAATTACAGGTGCGAACTACAAAGTTACTGATTTTATTTTATTTTTTGAGACGGAGTTTCAGAGTTTCGCTGTTGTTACCCAGACTGGAGTGTAGTGGCACGATCTTGGCTCCCCGCAACCTCCGCCTCCTGGGTTCAGGCAATTCTCCTGCCTCAGCCTCCCGAGTAGCTGGGACTACAGGCGCATGCTACCATGCCCAGCTAATTTTTGTATTTTTAGTAGAGACGGGGTTTCACTTTGTTGACCAGGAGGGTCTCGATCGCTTGACCTTGTGATCCACCCACCTCGGCCTCCCAAAGTGCTGGGATTATAGGAGTGAGCCACTGTGCCGGCCAAATTTACTGATTTTAAACAGTGGTGTGGGACTAGTGAAATGATCAGACTTAGTTAAAAGGAGAACTCTAGTGGCCAAGTGGAGAATGTTTTTGGAAAGAGCAAGAGAGAGACAGACGGTGGGGAGACTGGTTTAGAGAGCTGGGAATCTCTTGGGAATAGAGATGAGGGTATGGATAAAAAAATAGTTAACCAAGGACTTTCAAGGAGTTTTTGCTGGGGTTGTGGGTGCTCTCAGGGGTAAAGCTCCGC